CATCAGAATGGCTTACTGGCTATGGTCCAACTAGTCCAACAATGGTTCTCTACCAGTGGAAAGTTCAAGAATCCAGTAATTATTCAGTTCATGAGACTAGGTGTCTCAGCTACTCTTTAGTATACACCAGAATCCTGAACAAGTAGGTCGTGATGCCACTGAAAGAGTGGACTTGCTAGCACGAGCAAGCTTCCTTCTTTCATGACCTGTATAGAGGCTGTCAGCAGAAGGTGTGGTCCAAATTAAAGGTGGGTCTTCCAAATGCAAAAGATCTGGATTTTGGGTGTATTTTCTCACTCCAAAGATCTGGATTAAAAGTGGATCTTCCCAATTCAAATGATTTCATTAATTAAAAAAAATCTTTCAGGCTGGACCTTGTAGCACAGAAACACCTTTTAATCCCAGCCATTGGGAGGCAGATGCACATGGATCTCTATGAGTTTGAGGCCAGCCCAGTCCACATAGTGAGTTCCAGGACAGCCAAGAAACCCTGTCTCAAACCCAACCAACCAACCAATCAACCAAAGCAAATAAATAAGTAAATAAATAGAAAATAAAAAAAATTAAAAAAAAAGAAAGAAAGAAAAAGAAAGTCCCTCACAGATGTGCGCAGTCATTTGGGTTTTGGTTAATTCCAAATGTAGTCAAGCTGAGAACGGAGAGTACCCATCACAGATTTAGCTCACTGTTTCAGAGGGCTAAGATCTTTGTGGGAGGAAAATGGGTCTCTTACAGCAACCAGGAAAAGGCAGATACCTGCTAGAGGCTGCCTGTCCCTTTTTTTTTTCCATACAGTCTGGAGCCTATGGGATGGAAATGCCTACATTCAAAGCAGATCCGACCCCCTTAGTTAATCCCACCTGCAAACACCCTCCCAGGCACACCTTAGTGGAGCTCTGCTGATCACTTCCCGTGCTTCTCCCTCCCTCTTTCCCTCCCTCCCTTTCTTTTTTCCTCCTTCCTTTCCCTTCCTCTTCCCCTCTCCCTCTCTCCCTTTCTTCTCTTTCTCTCTTTTTTTTTTTTCCAAGGCAAGATAGCCCTGGCTGTCCTAGAACTCCCTCTGTAGACCAGGCTGGCCTGGAACTCACTGAGATCCACTTGCCTCTGCCTTCCAAGTGCTGGGATTAAAGGTTTGCACCACCACTGCCTGGCTGTCTTTCTTTTCAAAGATTTGGTTGTAATACTCATCAGGTATGAGTGTTTCGTATGCATGTATGTATGTATGTGCGCCATGTGTGTGTCTGGTGCCAGTGAAGGTCAGAAAAGGGTGTCGCATCTCCTAGAACAGATAACTGTGAGCCACCATGTAGGTGTTGAGAACTGTACCCAGTTCTGAATCTCTATAGGAACAGCATCTCCCCGGTACCTCTAAGAGCTACTTTCAAAGGATGTGCCAGAGGTCACAAAGCCATGACCACACGTGAGGGGGACTCACATTCTGGCTTACTGCACCCAATTCTGCTTATTGGGTCACTTCATGTTCCATTCCATGAATGCGTAAGTGGGATCCTGAAGCAGCTGATCCCTGTTAATCCAGCACCTCGGGGAAGAAAGCAAATAAATCAAAAACGGAGTCTGTCTGCAGGAGGATAGTTACAGCATTGTCTGGGAACAGATGCTGATGTGTCTTCCCAGGGTGGGCGAGACCTGGTCCTCGCAATGCAAATGTCTTGGTGGCTGCTGCTTCTGAACTCCAGTGAGGGAGGGAAGATGTCTTCTTTGCTGTGTTTAAGAAATCTTAATTTTCCCAGTGAGAGACGGGGTGGAGGGCAGGGAGACTGATTGAACCTGACCTCCTAGGACGGTTTTCCAGCCCCTGCAGTCAGTACCGTGGTCCTTTGGCTGTGATGCCTGGGCAATAGAATTGACATCTACTGATATTAACAACACAGTGGAGAGTTCTAGAAGACAGAAAAGGGGAATGAGAAACTCAGATGTGTGTGCATACATATATTCAGTGTCAAGACATCCTCGGGGAAGAGAGGGGAGAACACTAAGTCATAAACACCGGGACACAAAATGAACCCCAGGGATTCCGTCCCTCCCTCTCTGGGGACTGCACCTGGGGCTGACCCTGTAGCTTGCAAAGCATTCCTCAGCTCACCTGTGTTCAAGGGGGTTGATCCACATAGGTCTTTCCTCTGCTGGTGTTGGGTAGGCCGGCACTTCTTACCAGTGTCTGCTTGCAGGGGTCAGCGAGGGGTGGGGTATCCAGGAGGGAGGGTCAAGAAGGAAGTGACACATTTGGACCTGATAGTCCGGGAGACAGAGAGGAAAGAGACTCAGCCAAGAGAAAGGACCTGAGGCTGTATTTTCTAGTGGAGGCAATTTCTGTGTCACAAAGTTAGAGCACGCTTCCTGATGGGCCTCCTCCTGGCTGCCTTCCAGGCCTGGCCAGCTGACTGCAGCAGGCTGTGAGCAGGCGATGTGAAAGGGCAGGGAGCCCCGGAAACGGCCGATTCTCAAGCCGGAGGGCCCGGTCCACATCTTTGATGACTCCTCAGCACGCTTGCCCAGAAAAGTCTTAAAAAGTTTAAACCCCCTCTGTACAGAGCCAGAGCACATGCACAGAAGTGGCCACAAAGAGCAGCTCAGTGGTTGTGGATTAGCCAGCAATGCCCTGTCTCACACCAGCTGCTTAGCGTCACTTTGTTTTGACTTCTTTCCCTCTGGTTATTTTAATTAACCATCGCTATTGATTTGGTTGCGCATAGCCTGGTGATGTTGGTGCACACTTGGCTGGGCAGTGGTGGTGCATGCGGAGGCAGGGGCATCTCTGAAATGGAAGCCAGCCTGGTTTAGAGGACAGCAGGGGTCTGCACAGAAAACCTGCCTGGGGTGGGGGAAACAAACAGAAAACAAAACAACAACAACGAAATGTGGCGGTTCGGGGTGGGTGGAGAGATGGCTCAGCCCTTAAAGGCTAGGGTCACAACTAAGAGTACTTTTTGCTTGTGCATCTGAAGATAACTTTGCAGGCTTGCCTCTTCCCTCGAAGGTTTTACATGGGATGTAGGGATTGAAGATTACCAGGCTTGTGGTCCTGGCTTCTAAGAGCACAGAGAGCTTTAACTCTTTTGTGTCCTTATCCATAGGCTTTCCTCTGCTGTCTTCCCTCACCCTCGGCTCTCTCGCCTAGTCCCAGTTACCTTTGTGATATGTGTTGTACGTATGACTGGAACGTGGTTTGTGCTCCTTGGATTCTGGGTGACCTTTTAAAGTCCATCCTGGAGCTGACACGCATTTCTGGAGTTTTCCTAGCATTGCTGGGAAGATCTTGGCCTTGTCTCCTGCTGGTCCTATGCACACATTGCCATGCACTTAGGACTGGGGAGCCTAGATCCAAAGGGCATGCCTCTACTCCATATAACTAGATGGTACATGACACTGTCCCTGTGTATTTCTCTTAAGCAGTTGTCTTCTGCAGAATGCCTGTCTGCTCCATTAAGTGGCTGGTCCTTGGGGGTCTCTCCTCTATATTTTAGCTCCATGACATGTAAGCAGTCGGTAATATGAGAGAAGCATTTGGGTTTGAGGACACCCGAAGCTCTCATGTAGCGAGCCTTATTCCCATGATATTTTCTGGCAGGTGAGGTCCTTTTTCTGGTGTGGTATCTTTTCTCCTGAGCATCCACGCTGCCTCTGCCCTTGGTCAGGAACTGCCACTTGACTATAGTAACGCTCACCTGGCCGTGTGATAATCCTTCCTCAGGTGACAGAACTTTAATGGACTTGACCACAACAAAACAAACCTGGTTTCAGATTTGCCTGTGGCCCTCAGTAAATATTTAATAATGTACTTTCCCTCTTTCTCCCTTACTGTTAACTGAGGCTATGGTGTTAATCACCCCACAACCTCCCCCTACCCTCGCTTCCTCCATATTTCTTCCCCTCTGATAGGCTGAATGGATTACAGGTTCCTCCCAGATGCTGCCCGGGACCTCAAGTTTCTTATCTTGGCAACCAAACAATGACAGTTTGTCACTCATAGCTTTTTGTGCGTGTGGAGGTGAAATGAGATTGTCCATGTGTAAAACGTCTCGGTTTTTAGTTCTAGCCATCTTGTGTGGGTACTCCTCACAGGGTAATGCAGACACTGGGTTGAGGCTCAGGCTTGGAAGACAGACTAGACTGCCTTGCTTCTGGCTGCTCTCTTACTGGTGTGAATCACCCGCAACTGTCTGTACCTCCAAGTATTATTCTGTAAACTTAGTTGGCAAATTCCAGATGGTCGCGGCATTTTACGGGATGTGGTAGGCCAAGGCTCCTAGCAGGATGAATGACGCATGCTCCTTGAAGGGCCATTAGTGCTCTCGGGTGGCTGGGGACGTCCAGGCCCCACATTCTGTGATTTCTGGGATAATGTGAATGCATTGGGTTGAGGAGACACAGATATAGTAGCTGGACCAGTCTGGAAGGACCTGGAAATTGCTGAATGAATAAGAGTAGTAACCCGCCCCAGGCACTGTCCTGGAGAAGCAGCTCACAGAGCCTGGCAGGACCTGGAACCAGGCCAGCCTTTTGTGGTTGCCTTTAAAAAGAAACAAAACAAAGACTGACTTCCGACCAGCTGACCCTAAGCCTCTAATCCTAGTAGGTTCCCTATTGGGACCTTTCAGACCTGCAGAGGAGCCTGGCTAGGTGCCAGGTCTGATCTTTAGTGAGCCCAGGCAAGCCAATAACTTGCCCCTCATCAACACCATGGGCACAGTCAGGTCCTAGTCTTCTCCCAGGCAGCTCTGTGGATCCTCCTGCAGCTAAAATGTCCTTGCCTGTGGGGGGGGAGGGTAGCAAACCACTTAGTGGCATTCCCTGAAGGTTTTTCTCCCGCCTCACCTTTTTTCCCCAGGCCTTCCGCTCACCTGTATTTGCTTGCCAGTGTCACAGGGACTATTTTTATCTTAGCACTTTTTGTTCCTGTGTCAAATATAAGAGAGGAGTGATGATTGCTCCTGTCGCCTGTGATTGTGCCAACACTGTTTCCTTCTCCCTCGTCTCAGGCATGACCTTAGCATGACTATGGTAAGAAGATGCCCTCCAGAAGACTGTGCTTGTGGACGACATGGAGCCCCACTTGGGGATTTTCTGAACCCTGTGGATTTTACAGTGAAATGCACTTGTGTGATGCTGGTGGATGTGGATTCCGGAAGAACTCACCTGGCTTGCCTTGGGATGCTACAAGTGGCCTAATGGATTCTTTCAGGCTGGATGCCCACTGGATGACAAGGACAGTAGCTGAGAAGACTGTATCTTAACCCTTGACTCAATGCGAATATTTGCTCTGATCTCCCGGACAACCTGGAGCTCCCTCAAAAATGTAAGTCCCCAAGACCCATTTCCTTTTCAGTGTCCCTGTGTTTTAGGCCAGGCTGTCCTGGATGGTAGTTGAGAGTTCTCTGTTGATGGGGCTGTTAGGAGAAGAGCTGCTGTCTTCTGTGTCCATTTATGTATCTGGCGTGATGCCAGGACCTTATGGGAGAAAGACAAAAAGTAAGTCTTTTTAAATTAAAGAAAATAACAACCATCGAGGTAGTGGTGCATGCCTTTAATCCCAGCAGGCGGATCTCTGTGAGTTCAAGGCTAACCTTAGAGCAAGTTCCAGGACAACCGGGACTGATACACAATGAAAACAAACAAACAAATCATTATTATCATAATCATCCATCATTATCATATCATAATGATAATAATAATAGTAAGGAGAATCCTTCCTGGAGCTACCCTTCTTCCCCGTGTTGATGGATATTTGTTGATTGAAGGTTCTTATTTCTCTTTTTGTCCTCTAGACTATAAATGTCTCAAAGGCCAAGGCTTGAGGAGGTTATCTCTGTCTCTGAGACTCAGTGGGTACCTGGCAGGTGGTCTCTCACACTGCAAAAAGGGTAAATGAAGACGTGGTGGTAAAGGCATCAAGACTGGCAACTCCACAGGAAAGGCAAACACAATAGACTCATTTCTTGGCTCTATGTATAGAGCTGAGAACAGCATGAGACCAGATGGTTAGTACCGTGAGACAGGTGCTGTTCTGGGTTTAAATTCCTACCACCCTGTGTGACTCAGAACTAGTGATAGTTGGGTGCCCCTCTTCAGCGTGGCTGAAGTTAGTAGTATTCTCTTCTATCATAGCGTTGGAATTGAGGCTCCCAAAGCAGGCATTTACGTGCAAGGCATGTGCCCGAAGCTTGACCCAGGGTCAAGGGCAGTGCCAGTGCAGGGTAGCTTCTGGGGAGGGTGCTGTTGCTCGGCCCTGAAAATATTCTGAGCACAGCAATGTAAACAGTGCTAGACTTTGCACCAGACACTGTGGGTTGTCCTGCACAGTCCATTAAGGGTCTTGTTTTGAAGCCTGGAGGAGGGCTGAGCTTTAGACCTGCAATAGGCAAGGAGAAGGAACCTTCTGCCAGCTGGAAGGAGGGAGGAGTGGACTTGACAACTGAGGTTCATGCCTCTGCAGTTCACTGGTTTGACCCCTGAGGTGTTGCAAAGTTGGTAGAACCTAGGGTTGTTCACTGGAGTGCCAGGCTACCCAAGAAAGAGTGAGTGGTAGCTCCAGTAGGAAGGGGCGGTGCTCGGGTCACCATTTGGCTGCCAGAGTGGCACTTGAGATAGAGGCTGCTTGGCATGGGCTTCTAGGTCCATCATGACAACAATAAACTCTTAGGCAGCCCTGCTTGAACTGCTCCTGCAGGCAGAGTCCACTGGTTATGCTATGTTGCTATTCACAGTTTCTGGATGTGCACCGACTCTCTGCTGGAGGAGTCTGAGAGCCTTGCTGTCTTGCTTAGAGGCCAGACACATGGTGCATTGCTGCAGCAGAGCTGGTCTGATGAGGTGGTGACCCCCATTGTGGATTTCTTGCAGCTCCACAAAGAATAGGCACGTGGTCCTTTGAAACAACTGTGTCATTTAGACCAGCAGTCCCTCAGGTACGTAGTGTGTCTCCACTCTGTATTTGCAAACCTTGAGGGTCATAACTTGCATAGGTGTATGCTTAGGAGAAGGCCAAGCTGGAAGCTAGAAGCCTGGCTGCTTGGTTTGTGCAGGACCAGTCGGGTCAGCTAAAGAGGAAAGATGTCCTTCTAAGTCCGAAGGGGCAAGTGTTGGGACTTAACTCCTGTGGTTGCTCTTAGGCCCTTAAAAGCTAGCGTCCTCTTCTCTCCACCTGAGAAAACCAGGCTTTGGGGACTCCTGCAGGCGTTAGGCACCAGGGCAGGGATGAGGCAGAAGTTGCATCAAGCTGGGAGAACAGCACTCAGTTTTTCTCTCATGGTCTTGGGGGGTTGGGGGTGGGGGGTGGTCTGTGCTTTTGGTAAGGGAAGCCCTGTTAGATAGGGTGTTTGGAGCATGGCTATGGATCTGCCTGACCTGAGGTGGTGAGTGGAGTCATTTCAGGGCGTGGCTGTTGAGACTCTTAGCCTCTTTGTGTCTCCATACCATCCCCCCATGACAGCTACACCTCACTTATCACATGGCCCCCAGCTCCCTTTCTCTTCTTGGATTGGTTACTCCCTAGCATAACCCTTTTGTGGTGGTTCTCTTTATCTCCTTCTTCTCACAAGAGGCTGAGTACCGGTAGACTCAGGCTGCAAAGAAACATGGAACCAAAATCCTGAGAAGTAAGACAGGGATTCGAGGCTCCATCCTGCGGACACGGATATAGCAAATATCACCATTTATCAGGCCAGCCTCTGTGCAGGATGCTTGGCCAACACTGAGGCAATATGTGTCAGAACAGAGCCGTGGGGTAGACACTGTTAGACGTCTGGGTCTGTAGTAAAATGGGCGGCGGGGCTGCGTTCCCAGGAAGATTCTAGCCCACGTCCATCCTGGGTCGGAGCTTCATTGCGTGTGTCTGCCCAGGAGCCGGGAGCATGGTGTCTCTCTCTCTGAGGTGTCTGCTCCCGAGAGGAGAGCTGTGGAGTCTGAGCTCACTTCCTCTTCCTCCCAGCGTTCTATTCTGTTTACTCCTCCCACCTATCTTCTAACCAATGAGGGCCAAGCAGTTTCTTTTTATTTAACCAATGACCTTCCTCCATCATGGGTCTGGGTCACTGTTGGAGGGATGAGTACAGAAAGGCCAAGTAGGTGTCCCCAGGGAACACCGTGCTGCCTGACTCCGCAGCCATGGAGACCGCCTGGAGCTGAGGATGTGACTTCTGCTCCCTTCTTATCCCCGCTAGAGACCATAATCTGGGGCAGGTCACCTTTTTTCTTTTGGTCTACATCCTCATTAGTAGGAAACTTGTGTCATTTTTCTCCTAAACCAAGGTGTTTGGGAATGAAAGGTCATCGTGTTTACGGGAATGGTCCTGTGACTGTGGGGAGCTCACGACATCGCAGAAGCAGAGTCTCAGAGTCTGTGCCATGGGTAGTTATGGGTCCTGCTTAGCATCTGGTGAGACTGTGGGCCATGGTGCTTCTCTCTGAGTCTGCAAGATTCCTTATGAGACGGATGCTTACCTTGATCGGCAGCAACACGCACACACAGACAACAGAAAGCCCACCCTACCAAGAGCATCTCATTTATACATCTTTCTTTTATGCGTCTGGGTGTTTTGCCTGCAGGTATGTCTGTGCTGCATGTACAAGCACTGCCTGCAGACCAGATACCCTGAAACTAGAGTTATAGGCAGTTGTGAGCTGCCCTGTGAGTGCTGGGAATTGAACCGCGGTCCGCTGGAAGAACGACCAGTCCTCTTAAACCACTGGTCCATCTTTCCAGTGCCTGGGAGCATCTTATAATCATGAGAGGCACTGATTGTAGGCACTGTGTGGGCCCTGTCCATTCTCTCGTGCACACTGGGCACCCAGAGTGTTCCTGTCAGCCCCTCTATTACAATAGGTTGAATCACATAGTAAATACTCCCCCTGTGCAGTCAGCGGCTGACTTCATCTCATTCACTCACTTCTCAGTGATCGGAGGCTGCTATCTCCCCCACAGCTTTATAGTGAGAATTAAATATAAGCACACATTTGGGCGTTTGAGTCAGTGTTTTTTGGCATATGACATGTACTCAGGGAATATTAGTTATTTTTAAGTAAAATGTTGAACTAGATTTGGAAGATCGAAAACACACAGACACAGAGAAATAAGAAAATGCTGAGGATGTGTCACGCCTCTCGGAAATTTGATGTTCAATCCCGGCTCTGGGTTTCCTAGTTAGCGCAGCCTGCTGAGTGGGTTATATTTGTGTCTAAATTAAGGTTTGGCAAACTTTTCCTATCCTGGGCTAGAGAGTAAATATTTTCAGTTTTGGGAGCCCTGCCGTTCCCTACCACTCATTGCAGCACTGCTTCTCCTTCTGGAAAGCCGCCAGTGGCAGTATGTAAATGAGTGGGTGTAGCTGTGTGCCAATAAAACTTTATTTACAAGAACTGGCCAAGAGCCCATCAGCTGTCATTTGTCCTTGGTTTAAATAAGGAAACCTGTTTGTCTTTGAAAGAGACTGCTCCTGGATCATAAACACTGGAGGGCAGCTTGTTATGAGATGTAATATTTGTGTGAAGCTGTGGCCACAGCAGATGGGCAGCCTATTTATTGTGTTTCACAGGAAATGTAAAAAAGGCCCTTACATGGGTAGTTCGTGTCGGCTGTGTCTTAAGCTGTGATGCTGACAGATAGTTCTTTTGATAATTCTGAGAAGTTATGTTAGAGTGTACATTCTTGTTTTTTTTTTTTTCTGCCCCCCCTGAGTTAAGAGTTTTTCTGTATAGTCCTGGCTATCTTAAACTCACTCTGTAGACCAAGACCAAGCTGGCCTTGTATTTACAGAGATCCACCTGCCTCTGCCTCCTGAGTGCTGGGATTAAAGGCACGTGCCACTGTCTCCCAGTTCGTTCTTAAGTGGACACCCAGTCCCTGGATCACTCAAGTCTCAATGCTCAAAGATTACCTTTGGAGCAAACTCGACTAGGGTTTTGCAGCTTTGCTGTTTCGGGGCCGGTTGATCTTTCTCCACTGATCTCTGCTTTGGGTGGGCTTTTCTAGCCACAGCCTGTAGGTATGAGGATCCCAGAGTCCTCTCTTCCTGTGAGTGCTCAGAGTTAACCAAGGGGGCAGATTTTAGGCATCATCTCTGTGACCGCCCACCCTGTCCCCAGGCCCTTGGATTCCCCAGTGAGCGAGGAGGCAGGCAAGGCTTATAGTCACGGGAAGCCTAAGATGTCGCCTGCAGTGGAGCAGGAATAGGCGGTGGCCACAGGAACCCTGGGTCAGAATGGGTGAGTAGGGTCTCTTCTTCCTGGTGCTTGGCTCGCTGGAGCAGGACAGGGCTCTGGGCTATTTAGCAAGACCTGCTGATTTGGAAGAATAAACAT